TGTAAAGAAGACACTCCAAGCTTTCAAATGAACCCATATATGGGCTGATACCATATAAGGAAGGCTATGTAAATGAAGCATAAACATTTTTAACGCGATTTTGGACCCGTATCCGGTCCGCAGAGTTGAACTGGTGTTAACAAACAGTGTTTCTGCAGGTCTTCACCATTCACCATTTCACAAAATAAGGCCTTAAAAGGTTTTAAAACAGAACAGAAAGTCTTAAATTTATAAAGTCGTGGCATTAAATGTTGCAAAAAAAAAAAAATTATCTTCCTCAGTGTTTTTGCCTTGTTTTTAAATACAAATATCGAAACACCCTTAAATTAAGAAACGTTTACTTGAGAGGCAAACTGAACATATGAAGTTCGTACACATCTTTTGTGAAAGGAATGAAAAAGTAATGGAGACTGTTTGAAGTGTTGCTAATACAACTCATTGTGTGCTCCCTAGATATTTACATTTAGAGAACATTGACATATTTTGCTCCCTGCAATGTACTCCTTAAATTTTCTTTACTTGGTCTCAAAAAGTCATAAAACCTGTTTAAAAACTAATACAAATATTATTTTAATACATTTATTTGAAAAAAAAAAAAAAAAAATATTTTTAAAAATGCACAAATTAAAGCTTTAAGCATAAATCATAAAGTTTTCTTTCAGTTTTTCTTGTATCTTTCTCACATGACTTGCAGTGGTCAGATGATTCCACACTGGCCTGAAACGTGGTGGGAATTTGATATAATTCCTCTTGAAATATTTCAGAGGATTTGTCTGTTGGACTTTTCATTTCCTACCAGATTCTGCAAGACTTTCCTTTTTTTGTGTACAACATTTTGTTGAAATATCAGCTGCATTAAGTGATGTTTTATGGCGTTAATCAATAAAGAAATTAAATTGGATATAAAGCAAATATAGTAACTTACATTTTCATGGTAAGGATTGCTTAAAGAAAACATTGACTGAGATTAAACCAATCTGCTAGATCAGTCATTTTCTACAGATTAAGGTCCTGACTAACTGCTTATTTTTTCCTATAATGATTACATTATGCATGTTAGAAGTTCTAACATCAGTAAATCTTTGGGAAACACTGACTGGCCTGTTTGTGAAATAGCTGTGAGTGGATTTTGAGAATATTTATAAAATACTATCTTTGTCTCTCAGATTCCATAAATACATTTCTGCTCAGTCATTATTCCCTCTCAGGATTCAAAGAAGCTTTATTCACATGCTAAACAAATCTCTCTCTCTCGTTCTCTCTCAGATTGACCCTAAGGTGGCCTTCCCACGTAGAGCTCAGCCAAAGGTGAGTGCTAAGTCTCCGTTCAGGTTAACATCACGCAGGTTCTTTTCTGAAACCTAGTGAGCGTTTTAAAGCATCATCTGTGTTTTCTCGATGTGACAGCAGAATTCCGAAGATCCTTCTTTGTGACTATATTGCATAGAAGTCGCTTCAAAACCTTTAGAACAATAAGTAAAAACAATAAGTTGCACTGGTCACAAACATTACCTCTAAAATGTTTATAATAGGGCTGTCAGTCGATTAAAATTTGTAATCTAATTAATTACAGGGTGATGCGAAAAGCGAAAATACCCCCCAAAAATCCTTTAAAGCTATTATTGTGTTAAATGTTTAGGCTACAACGGCCTAACATAAAGTATGGAACATAAAAGAAGATAATTTGAGAAACATCTCAGTATTTTTTGTTCATCGCTAAACACCGCTGTGTTGCTCGGAGACGCGCAACAGTTCTGCTGTGGCTTTATAGGTAATATTTTCATCGTCAAAATTGAACAAAACACACAATATTGTGTTTAGAATATAACACAGTATTAACTTCTTATTTACTGAACTGTTGTATCAAATCACATCTGCACTCGTGCAAATCAGGACAAAAGCGGCACTCGTGTGATATCGCTTATCATATAAATATGAGACAAAAAGAAGTGAGAGATATGAGACATACAGGGGCATCCCCCCCCACCCATATCTTAAATTTTAGGGTATAACTGCATTTATGGAGTTGTTATCCTGCATCATATTTGTCAACTGTGTGAAATGTAAGATGACGTACAGGTCTGGGGGCGGGGCCAGTGCGTTAACTGCGTTAAAATATTTTAATTGCGTTATTTTTGAAGTTACTAATTAAGTTTAAGTTATCTAATTAATTAAGTTAACACGTTAAACTGGCAGCCCTAGTTTATAACAATTCTTTTTGATCATTGTTGCATACAGTACTATTTAAAAGTTTGTGGTCGGTAAGATTTTTAAATGATTTTCAAAAAAGTTTCTTATGCTCACCCAGCCTGCATTTATTTGATCAAAAATACAGTAAAAACAGTAATATTGTGAAAAATTGTTGCAATTTAAAGCAACTGTTTTCTATTGTATAATATATAGTAAAATGTAATTTATTCCTTTGATCAAAGCTGAATGTTCTGCATCATTACTCCAGTCTTCAGTGTCACATGATCCTTCAGAAATCATTCTAATATGCTTATTACCTGCTCAAGAAACATTTCTTACTATTGTCAATGTTGAAAACAGTTAACTTAATGCTTAATGTTTTGTGGAAACCTTTTTTTTCAGCATTTTCTAATGAATAGAATGCTCAAAAGAACAGAATTTGTATACATTTTATGTGTCCTTGCTAAATGAAAGTATACATTTCTTTGAAAAAGTAGCAAATACCCTTCAAGGATCAGATAAAGTCAGAATGCATTGCGATCAGCTCAGTGAATTTTCATCCAAAGTAGCATACGAAAGATAGCTAAATTAAAATTATTTTCTGTCTGTCTGTTTTCCTGTCTACACCCAACTGTCCTATAGAAATAAAGGCAAGAAACACCAAAACTATGCATGTTAGTGCATTGTTGCTTTGTTAGCTTGAAATAAAGTTCCCCCTGTGAGTCAAAGGAAAAGTGTTCATTGTAAATAAATTGACAGAGCTTCTCCCTATGTGGAACGTCCCAAATCAGAGTCCTTTCGTTTCCATTTCTGGGTTTGCATTTTTAGCTAATATGCTCCCTTAGAAGGCAACTGTGTAGACAGTAAAGTAGCTCACTAGGTTTTGGAACAGAGTCATACACAGTGTTGGGCATTACTTAGTAACGCGTTACTGTAATTTGATTACTTTTTTTAGTAACGGAGTAATCTAACGCGTTATAATTTTCAAAATGGTAATTAGAGTATAGTTACAAGCCGAGGTCTCTATACGTTACATTGCGATCAGCTCAGTGAATTTTCATCCAAAGTAGCATACGAAAGATAGCTAAATTAAAATTATTTTCTGTCTGTCTGTTTTCCTGTCTACACCCAACTGTCCTATAGAAATAAAGGCAAGAAACACCAAAACTATGCATGTTAGTGCATTGTTGCTTTGTTAGCTTGAAATAAAGTTCCCCCTGTGAGTCAAAGGAAAAGTGTTCATTGTAAATAAATTGACAGAGCTTCTCCCTATGTGGAACGTCCCAAATCAGAGTCCTTTCGTTTCCATTTCTGGGTTTGCATTTTTAGCTAATATGCTCCCTTAGAAGGCAACTGTGTAGACAGTAAAGTAGCTCACTAGGTTTTGGAACAGAGTCATACACAGTGTTGGGCATTACTTAGTAACGCGTTACTGTAATTTGATTACTTTGTTAGTAACGGAGTCATTTAACGCGTTATCATTTTCAAAATAGTAATTAGAGTATAGTTACAAGAGGTCTCTATACGTTACTGCCGCCTTACATTGCTGACAGAATGCAGTGTTTTATAATCTAGAGATTGTAAAAAGGATGTAGCACACGCACTGTCCAGTCCAGTGCCAGTGGATTAGAGACCCGACGAAACAGAGTGTATAGCACGGGACAAGATGGGCGAGTGCTGGTGCGAGCGGGTAGACACTCGTGTGTGTGCGGGATGCGGGAGAATAAAATGATTCACGGGACTCCCGCAAAATAGAAATATCTAAACATAAAATATCTAAAACAAATAAATGTAACAATTAACAGGTGCAAACGTATACAGAGTTTCTATTTAGGCTATAACACGTGTTTGCAGCGTTGAGCAATGCAGTGCTGAAATTTGCATGCTCACGAATCCTCTCATTGTAACACACGAATTGTAGACATTATGAAAGATTCATTATGCATATATTTATTGTGTTATAACAGAGATTTGTGAGATTGCGATGAACTGAGATGTCTTAGAGATTATAAATGCAGCGCTCTTTGCTGGCATTCTGCCATGCCAAACCATGCACGCAGCAGCCGCTTGCTTTAGTTAAAAATAACAGTGTTCTGTGAATGTTGATGCTTTAATAACAAATATTTATCGGGAGCTTGTATGCTAGGATTTCATACATTTCATGGAGAAAAAAAGTAACGTAACGTAACTAATTACTAATTACTTTTGAAATAAAGTAATCAGAACAGTAACGTCATTGCCTTTGAAAGGAGTAATCAGTAATCAGTAATTTGATTACATTTTCAGAGTAACTTGCCCAACACTGGTCATACATAACTCCTATTTATGTAATGAACACACTCTTTTTTTCAACAAAATAGTTGACTTTTGCATACCTTACCTTTAAAAGTATGAAAATATGTATTCAAATGGCATGCTAGTTTTCTTGTTGAAAGTCCTACAGAATCCTGTAGTTGCGTGATTATTTAATTGTCTCATTATTTGTCTTTTGTTCTGGTGTTTTCAGCTGGTAACAAGAACAAAGAAGATCTTTGTTGGAGGACTGTCTGTCAACACCACCATCGAAGATGTGAAACAGTATTTCGATCAGTTTGGAAAGGTGAGTTCAAGGGCCGTATTCTACACCAGTGTGTCATTTTTTTCATAATTTCTTTTAGTTTTCATTACCACACTGAGAAGGCAACTCAGAAATTGCTAGTAAATTTCACAAACAATTTTCACAATTGTGAAGCACTTTGGGCAACTTAGTTGCTATTAAATGTGCTATATAAATAAATAAAGTTGAAGTTGAAGTTGAATTCACATGCAAGTAACACATTGAAATTTTGACGTAAAAAACATGTATTTTCTCGTAAAACGTGCCTCTCTCTGATCCTTAGATTTAAAAAGTCCGTTTTTGCTACTGTACCTTTTAAACTTACATATGACAGTCATAACTTTGGTGAAAAGGCCAGGTCCAGTCTAGCTTCTGAATACCGAATAGGTCTTATTTAAATATGGGCGGTCATATGTTAATGAGCTGTGTTAAAGAGTTGTGACATCAGTGGCATCTTAGTTTATATAAATGTTCTACATAATACAACTTTTAAAAGAACCAGAAAAATACTGTTTGTCCCCCGTAGTGTCACCCAACAATGTGCTCTTGATGTTGGTGTGTTATTTGACATTTTCAATTACGAAAAGGTCACGTAAATTTGTCTGTGTGTTTTGATGCACACGTGATATCTCCTTTATTCTCCGTCGGTCTCCACTTGTTCCATTTGTTACTGTCATATTCGGTGTCGGCGGTAAAGAATTGGTGTCCCAGTTGGAGATGGAGTCCTTATTTAGCTGCTTTTTCTTTCATGAGAGAGCGGCTTGCTGAGTTGAATAGTAGACAACAGGGACTAAAGAAAGAGAAGAGCGTATGAGATGAGTGAGGGAGGCCGTGTCACCTCCTGTGGGTTGAGGGCACGAGAGAAGGGGACGGCCTTGAAAAAGAGGAGAAAGATTAAGACGCGCAGTACAAAGGGAAGTTTTAGATGTGGCCATCCTATTAATTTGTTCTAAACTAACCAGAACTATTAGAACAACAATTAAAAAGGACCATAAATAGACACAAAACCACTGGTCAGGACCGTTTCCTGTAAAATGTTTATTGATGATTTTTTTAAATAAAAAAATGCAGTAAAAACAGTAAAATTGTGAATTATTATTACAATTTTAAATAGCTGTTTTCTATTTGAATATATTTTAAAATGCAGTTTATTTCTGTGATGAAAAGCTGAATTTTCAGCATCATTACTCCAGTCTTCAGTGTCACATGATCCTTCAGAAATCATTCTAATATGCTGATTTGCTGATCAAGACACATTTCTTATTATTGTTACAAAACAAAAAAAACAAACTTTACTGACCCCAAACTTTCAAACAGTACAAATACAGAATGGAACAATTTTTTATTATTATTTTTATATAGTTTATTAAATTTAGTATATATATATATATATATATATATATATATATATATGAAGAGTTCATTTGCAAAAACAGATAACTGTTTTTAAAAATTTTCAAAAATCGTGTTTTTTCATTGTGCATTCCAATTAATCTCAATCAAACTGCAGTTAAGTTATTTTGATTAGGTAAAAATAACTAAATATAGCTAAAAAAAATACAGCTAACTAAAACATTTACAATAAAATTACAGTAAATTATTCTTTTAACTGCATTTTTTTATCAAATAAATACAGCCCTGGTGTGCATAAGAGACTTTTAATGTTTCAAAAACATTTAAAAATCTTACTGATCCCCGAATTTTGAATGCTAGACTTTTGTAAACAGACACAGTTTTCTTTCATATTGCCTTTAACTCATTCACCTATTGCGTTGAAGTTTTGTAAAAAATATTCTATGAAAGTTTTTCATGTTGTAATGTCCATTTTGACTTTAAAACACAAATATCCATTTGAGGGTTTATCAAGACCACGATTCGATCAAGACGCGAGGTAATGTTTAGTTGAAACATGCTTGGAAGACACTTCAAGTAGCTCCTCTCTACAGAATCACTCTTATATGAAGTGTGAAGGTAGGAAGGAGGGAATGGTGTGAAGGTGCTGCTGGTAAAGGGGGAGGGTCTCGGAATCTTAACTAATCTGATGCAACAGCTGCTGCCCCCCCCCACCCTCTCAAGCTTGTTTCCACGGTGACCTGCTGGGCCTATTGTCTCCGCACACATCTCAATGTGACACCGGGTGCATGTGGCCTCTTTTTTTCAAATATGTAAATGCACGTGTGGATTCAGCGGTGCACACACTCACAAACACTCGTGCACCTGTTGGCCTGCTGGATAGACTTTATAAGGCACTGATCAAAGTTTAAAGACAACATGAAATCCTTATTCCTATTTATACTCAAAATGTTTGGAAAAATTAACCACCAATAAAAGCTCACCAAGGCTACATTTATTTGATAAAAAATATAGTAAAAACAGTCATATTTAAAATAAATGTAAAATAGTAATATTTAAAATAAATGTAGAATAAATATATATATGTATATAAATATAATATATAATATGTATATACATTTTATAACATTTACTTTATATTTATTTTAAATGTTGCTGCTTTTACTGTCCATATGTCTTTTACTATCTATCTATCTATCATAAAAATTATATGAGTAAAAATGTAATTTGTTCCTGTGGTTTAAAACTGAATTTTTATCATTATTACTCCAGTTTTCATTGTCACATGACCCTTCAGGAATCAACCAATTATGGTCAATAATTATTGTTATTATTAATAGTATTATTAGCAGTAGTATTAATATTAAAATATATTTTACAATATACAGTTTTTTTTTTACTGTATTTTGATCAAATAAATGCAGTTTTGCAGTCTTCACTGTCATATGATCCTTAAGAAATCATTCTAATATGCTGATTTTGTGCTCAATTATGATAAATTATTATTGGTGCTGAAAAATTAATAATGGTATTAATAATAATATTCTTACTCTTATTATTATCAATGTTGTAACAGTTTTTGCCTCTTAATATTTTGTGGAAACATTTTTTTTCAGGATTCTTAGATTAATAGAAAGTTCAAAAGAACAGCATTTTTAATAAAAAAAATCTTTCAATAATTAGATTTTTTTTTTTACATTATAAGCTGTCACATTGGATCAATTTAATGCATTTAAATTGTTATTAAATTAAATTGGTATTAAATAATTGGTATTATTTTAACCCTATTATCCCTAACTGTTTTCAACATTAACAATAATCCGAAAATGTTTCTTGAGCAGCAAATCAGCATATTAGAATGATTTCTGAAGGATCATGTGACACTGAAGACTGGAGTAATGATGCTGAAAAATAACAAAATATCCCATAGGCAGAAGTGAAATGTGTTGCAAATGCCATTTTGGGCGTTCAAGCACAGAGGAACGTTTGTGAAAGCGTTTTAGACAAAGTTAGGAGATTTTTTTCTTCGTTTAATCTCTGAAAAAGCATTTCCTCCACACTCCTCTCACTCAGCGGTTGGATCGATATCAAAAACACGCTGCACACATGCACTGGCGTATCTCTTCGCAATGTTCGGTGGGAGAAGCTCTTGTTGCTGTGAACACAATCTGGCCGTCCGAGCCTGTCTGGGAAAACTCGCTGCCCTCCATTGTCTTGATCTGTTAGGCACAATCCAAAATAGTTGGAATATGATCAGCCCCACAAAAGCGAAGTACAGTGAGAGTCCAAGCGCTCCGACCCACAACAATGGATATAATGAAACATCGAGAGGGAGAGGGCCGGTGGAACGGACAGACTGGAAAAGTTAGTCTCCATGCAGTCAGCCATGAGAGGTGTCGATTAGAGAGCTTCACTGGAGCTTTTGTCCGCTGGCCTGTTTAAAAGGAGAGCGAGAGATGAGGAAAGCATAAAAATCTAGTTTTATCTGGAGATCTTACCTTCTTCTTGTTTAATAAAACAGAAACGGGACACTTGCCGCTGCATCCCTGAGTGGGTTTTGGAGAGGACAGAGAGAGTGTGTTTTGTTTCTGAGATGATTATAGACTAAATAACTCAGTTTATTCTGTCTGATCATCCATGATGTTGTCTGTTTTAATTAGTCTCGAAGGTGTTTCTCGATTTGATGTGTAAAATGATTTTAGGCTGTGTTTTACCTGTCATCTTTTAAGCATTGCCTTCTTAAACTTTTATTTTTTACTATTCACTTCCTTCATCTATTTAGTTAGTTCAAAAGAACAGCATTTATTTGAAATAGAAATCTTTTGTAACATTATAAATATCTTTGGGACTGGGGAAGTCGTGGCCTAATGGTTAGAGAGTCGGACTCATAACCTAAAGGTTGTGGGTTCGAGTCTAGTACCGGCAGGGATTGTAGGTGGGGGGAGTGAATGTACAGCACTCTCTCCCACCTTCAATACCACGACTGAGGTGCCCTTGAGCAAGGCACCGAACCCCCAACTGCTCCCCGGGCGCCGCAGCATAAATGGCTGCCCACTGCTCCGGGTGTGTGTTCACGGTGTGTGTGTGTGTTCACTGCTGTGTGTGTGCACTTGGGATGGGTTAAATGCAGAGCACTAATTCCGAGTATGGGTCACCATACTTGGCCACATGTCACATCACTTTTTTTTTTTTGAAGTCTTTACTGTCACTTTTGATCATTTTAATGCATCCGTGGTGAATAAAAGTATTAATTTCTTAATAAATAAACAAACAAACAAACATTCAAATGGCACAAATACAAAATGAAACAATATAAAAAATTATGTTTTGTATGTTTTATTTCATTATAATTATTATTTTTTATAGTTTATTATATTTAGTAAATATTATCTTTATCTCCATCTATTTATATTTGTTATTTTTATATATTTTTTTTAATTTTTGACATGGTTTGTTATGTATGTATTTATTTATTTTAATGTTATTATTTAAATTGTTATTAATATTATTTTATTATTTACATTTTTAAATTTATTTATTTAATTAATTAATTAATTTAAATTTTACCATTTTTTTCATGCATTCTGTGTGGGGATGCTATATCTTTGACCATATCTTCCTACATAGTTTGTTTATTTGTTTGTTTTCTAAATTATGATTTTGCAATCTGATAATATCAAAGGTTTTTTTTATTCAGATAGTATTTTTTACATGCCAGTGCCTGTGTAAAACTCACAAGCATGATGCTAGTGTGTAGTGGGTGGTTGCTATGCAGTTGCTAGGGTTTTCTAGTTTGTTGCCAGGGCATTTCTAGGGTGTTCTGGGTTCTTTCTTACTAGTCCAGATGTAAAGAATCTCTATGAAGATGTTCTGTTCTCTAGATGAAGCTCGAGTCCCTCCTTCAGTCTAAATCTAAGGGATTTTTATCGTCTGCCAGGTACATCCTATTGCTTAGGAGATTTTACACACACCTCTCCTTAAGAATCTGAGGTTTCATTCATGTTCATAGAACAAACAGTAAAGAATTATTTATGTCCTAGAGTAAAAATTTTAAATTTAAATTTAAATGATCCAAAAATTCAGTATCAGTTCATCCCTAATTCTGTTTTCAGAACGGTTAATAGGGGACTAGAGCAAGTTTTTAATCTCTTTCACTTATTTTTTCATTGTTTGTAACAAAACACAAGCATCACACTGGTCATTTATCATATCAGACCAGATCATGCTAATGCTCACAGCAGCTGTCGGCCCGCTGTCTTCTCCTGACATTGGTGTGCCATTGGATTTGGAAGATGGGGAGGGTGTGTGTGTGTGTGTGGGACTGACTCAATGAAGGTTTGAATAGGAGGGGGGCAGAAGAGGGTTATAGTTAAATGTCAGAGTCTAAGAGTGTGTGTTTGACAGTGGCTCATCCGGGCTAAGAGTGTTTGACCTTTCCCATGGTCATTTAACCAGGTGGCACTGAAAAGCGCTACCCGGCCACGTGACCCTGGAGCGCTTCGACTGGTGCCGTCCTGCCGACAGCTCTCTCGCAGACAGAAGTGACAGTATAATCCTGAAGAGAAGGCCATCGCAGGCTGAATAATGAGGCCTCAGGTCTGGAGAAGAGACGGTTAACAGTTGCTTCACGATGCTCATGTTACAGGTTGTGTTGAGTTTCATCAAACGGTTGAAAGCGGACAGAACCGCGAACAGATTCACACGCTCATTATCAGCTCGCTGTCGCTCTGTGGTGAGCAAAAGCAAAGATTTTACCACAGTTAAAGTGAGTGTGGTGTTAGGCAAAGATGCAAAGATGTTGATATTGAATTAAAAATTTGAATAATATTAGTATGACATTTACTCTTTATCTCCCTTTATGAAGTATATTTATATTTATTTTTTTAATATATTTTTATTTTTAAATTATTTGTTATTATTTATTTATTTAAATTTTTATTATTTATATTTTATTAATATTATTTTATTATTAAACTGTTTAATTATTTAATTAATTAATTTATTTCCATTTTTGACAGCTATATATATATATATATATATATATACACAC